CTCCTATCACCATTACTACCCACTAAGCTACTAAACCCCATCTCGTATCTCCTCATCCACACACCTCTTCAACACCACTCGGGATGGTGACTCCACCACCTCCTTGGGCAGGCCATTCCAGTGCCTGACCACTCTTTGAAACAAAAATTTGGCAGCGCGTTTTGCATATAAAGTCTCTTCAGATTGTAATCGTTGAAAACTGACGTGATTTCCTTACAAATTAAGCACAGTGCCGTATTATCTGTCTCGACAGAAGTGTACTCATCTGTCCATTTATCACACAGAACACTTCTCCTTTACCCATGATTTTTTTGTTGTTTTTTGAGTCCTGTTTTCTTTTGAGACATGAGCTGGGTTAGAATATTGGTAATCACTGAGTTTCACTCATCAAGTGACACAAGCACCTTTAATGTAATACACGTGGGTTTCGTTGGGACTGAATGTGTGTGGCAGGCATGAGAAGTGGGGTCAGCAATGCACAGTGCCCTCCCCTTGTCCTGGTTTCATCTGAGACAGTGCCAATCGCACACCAATGGTTTGGTTGTTGCTGAGTGATGGGTGTGTGCTGCGGCCAGGCGAGGCTGCCTGGCAGAGAAGAGCTGCTGCCATGATGACCCTGCAGCAGGGAGTGAGGCCATATGACAAGCAGTTCCAGTCCACATGCTACCTGGACATGATCTGATTGAATTCATGTTGGTAGCATCCAAACAGGATAATTGAGTCCTATCTTATTAGAACCTTTAAGCTGGTAAGGGACGAGTAAATGATTTGTAAATTATTATGATTAGTAAATTAGTAAATGATAAGATTTTACAGTATCTAAGAAACACTAGCCATTTCATTATAAAAATATTGTGGAGATGAGATAAGCAGTGTAGTTAACAATGAGGTAAACATGTCAAGGTCATTTGCAGGACAATGAAAAACACTGCAGAGCTTGTCTCTCTACCTTGCAGTATGCATCATTAGTTTCTTGTCTGTACTTTTAATTTTTAATGTTTGTAAATAACATCAACATTAAAAAAATAAACAGGAAAAAAATAAAGGAAAAGAAACAAAATAAACAGAAACGAAAACCAAAATGCACCTGTGTGCAGGAGGACAGATATTGCACCAAGGCATCCACTGAAGCAGATGCAGTGATGTTCTAACCAAAGAAACACGTGTATGAAAATGTTCCATGCCTGCCTCAGTGTGAACTTCATTTTGTTTTGACTGTATACCTAATCTGAACAGCAGAACAGAGGAAAGGAAGACAGAATGAATAAATATTGCATTAAAACTTTTTATATTGTGGAGAACGTTTTTGCACATCACAACCTGTGATTTTTCCCTCTCACATATTAGTATCATTCTTGTTCCTTCTTATGCCGTTAACTCTGGTAATACTCAGCAAAAGTTTTCAGTTCAGAACTCTTAACTTTTCTATCAAATAATTAAAGAGCATGTTTCATTTCCCTTGCAACTCACTGACTGGAAGGAATGACAATCGTGGAATAACAGTATAAAATTACACTCAACCTAAGACTCCTACAGTAATAAGGATAGCTATTAGGTTGCTGCTTTACCTTCCAAAAGGTTCACGAGTAACCATCACTCTACTGGGTGCTATAACAGAATAAGCCTCTGTTAGTCAGCTGGGTGCAATTTAGAATATCAGTGTGTCTGTCTATTAGACAAAAATGTGACCTGTGTTAAGAAAACAATGGATATACATGAGTGCCTGATCTTGAAAAACTTTGTGACAGAATGAGGAGAAAATAAGAGCATCTGACAACTTTTAGAAAAGATGCAGTTCATATGTGTAGTACCAGCTTTAAGTATAGTATCTGAGTTAAGCTCCAGGTATGAAAAGGCAGAGCCTTACACAAATTTGAAGGCTTTGAGATTCCTCATACAAGCAACAGTGCTGCCATTGCACCATATGTACTGCTTCAACAATGCCAATATATTTAAGCTTTTCAGATAATATGGAAAAACATGATGTCATATCTGCTCTTTGTGAGTATATGGGTAAAGAATTATACTGGTCTGTTTTGTTACAGTTAAATCTTCCTTTGTTCTATGGATTTATGATTTCAGCTGTAAGTTGGTGCCTTTTGTGAGTGCAAAAATTTCTGCAGAAGGATTTTCTGCAAAGCTCTGTCTAAGTTTCAGCCAAGGCTAAGAGGCAGCTTCTCATATTCAGTCTGAGGGGTGGAAGGCAGAAAGACTCTGAAAATGGAAGAGATGGTTAGCCAGAGTTCAGTACTCTGTCAAGCAGCTTGCTATGGTTTTGTTTGTTGCTTCTATATACAAAGGAACTTCAATTAGCTGTATCCTGCCTGAGACAAGAGAGCCTTTATAAGCTTTAAAATGTGCTTTTGTTCCTTCACTGATGTGTAGGATTCTTCCATGAGATATACAACGGCTGTTGTGTTACCCTAAGAGCTGTATCTGGGCATTATAAAGCAAGCCAATTTGCAGACTGTTGGAGTTTGTCTCAAGAAACAAAGTATCTTTCAGAAGATATCTCAGAATAAACACAAGTGCTGTATTACTTGCAAGCTATGGAAAGAAAGGAAACAGACAACTGAACAACTACAGCAAGCAACCCACTGTAACAGCAGCACTTGCAAGAAATAACTGCATTCCTGAACACAGACTGGAAAAGATTAAACTCACTGATTTCTGAAAGAGAACACAGCTCTGAAAAGGAATTCTGCTACTTCTAGATGATGCAGGCAGAATATCTCAAGGAAGACATGCTGTTTGATATGCATAAGGACTGGAGGTCATTTGATTTCCTGAATACAGTGTATAAACACATGTATTATTCTTTTCAATCGTATTGATATAGGTGGGTTTGCTTAGCAATAGGGATTAGTTCATTAGTTTAAGAACCAATATATTAGTTCAGCAAAAGGAATCCATAGAAGATAGTTCTAAAACTTTCCTTTCAGCTTCAGTGAGTGAACAGTCTTGTTTTTCCTTAATAATTTTGCACTGGGGACATAATAGAATAGTTTTATCTTCTGCCTCAATGATTTTGCCTCACAAGAAATACTTGAGTCACAACACAATACTTTTATCTTTTGTCTCAAAACAGGACATTTTCCTCGGGTTCCACATACACTGTTTTTAAAAAGCAGTTCACTATGGCCTAGTAAGCAAATGAAATCTTCCAAACTGGGGAGAAGTGGATGGAAGTGGGTCAAAGGCTTCAGTGATGAAGCTAAAGAATGAAAAAAGGGAAAGAAGTAGGTGGGCACTCGACCATCCTAAATACCACTGAGCATGACTGTTTCCTGTGAATTGCAGGAAAATGGTCCTGGTCTGTTTTGTTACAGTTAAATCAAAACTTGTTTCTAAAGGAGCGGATTTAAGGGCTTATCCAGCCACCTGTTTGACCATAAAATTTCTGTATTCAGTTCTGATTTAAGAGTCTGTCTTGTTTTTAGTACAGATTGAATTGTTTTCTTCGTAGTGTCTACATGATGCCATGTGTTGGTTCAAGGAGAAAATAAATGTTTTTAACACACCAATGTCTACAGCTGCCTGCTAAGCCAAGGCCATTCTCAGCAAAGAGCCCAAGGAGCTGGCAAGGAGCAGAATTAGGACAGCTGACTTAAAATGGCCAATATGATGTTCCATTCTCTGTGGCATGATGCAGAAGGAGTTCTGAAGGTGGCGGGAGTTCATCTTTCCCCTCTGCTGTTTGGGGCCTATAGCAGTCATTTGACAAGAATTTGTTTCCATAAGGACTACTAGTTTGTCTGTTAAGTATAATTTGGTTTTTTTTTTTTTAATTTTTGTTTGTTTGTTTGTTTTTGTTTTTTGTGATAGTAATATGAGTGCCAAAATTCTAATAGTATTACTTTGCATTTCAGGAGTTGTGGAGCTAGAAAATAATTTGGTCCTACAACTAATGCAAGGACTTGGAAAATTACAAAATCTCACTAGCATTACTGCTGATACCAAAGTCAAGTAACGATCCCATCCAATAAGGAATTTTAATTCCAAAAAGCTTTAGTGCATTAATACATTAGCATAGAGGTTGGACAGAATCCACCCTACACATCATGGATTGGATTGTTAAGAGATAAATGGATCATACAAGGAAGTCCCATGGTGTTCTGAATGGAAAGGAGAACCTCAAGGCTTGAATAATATTGATTCTTATTAAAAGGAAACTTACACTCACATAAACAAAGGGACAGCAGCTGATAAATGGAATTGTAAGGTAAAATATAATTGTACCAGTTTTGGACAGGAATGGGTTAGAAACCTGACTGGTATATGGCAGGCAATGGCTGATGGTAGCAGCTGTAGAAAGCTTGATTATATGGGAGGAAATCTTGGAGGGTCAATCTAGTGCAAATCCTTCACTCTCCCATCACCTGGATATATGGTATATAAATTCACCAAACCACCAGTTTAACTCTTTGCCCACTTTGAAAGAAAAGCCCACTGTCCACCTCATTTTGGTGGAAAATGAAACAATCAGAGGATTCCAAAAAATGGCAAGGACCATCCACTAAAGTAGGGGTAGAATGGGGATTTCAAGCTTTCTTTGCACCAGAAATTAAGGCTTCTGAGAACAGAATACTAGTGTCCAATCTCACTTGGCAAATTGAAAGCCTTGCAAATGCCACTAGGCAAGGGCTTCTGACAATTAACAAACAGGTCCAGGATAATAGTGAAGGGCTTTTGCAATCTAGATTAGCCTTGGATCTCTTGCTGCTTAAAGAAAAATGATTGTGTGCATCAGGGTACAGGAATAAAATTGGGGCTGTGTCCCCCAGTACTTTGAGAGACCCCATAGGGGTATGCTCCAGTAGACTCTCCCTTTATTTGAATAATGAAAGCTGAAGACTTTCCTCTGTTTCTTTTTGGGATAAAGATGATTGAGCAAGCCTACTGAAGCAGAAATTTTCCTAACTTAAAGGAATAATCACTATCATGTCAGTTGCTTTCATAACAGTTCTGTTTCAAATTATTATGTGGTATGAGACTCTTACCAGGACTGGTTTTGTACAGCCCAGATGGGCTAATGACCTTTTGGCTGGAGGAAATCTGCTGATGGTACAGTGGAGATGTTCTCACTAAGACAGAAGGAAAAATATGATTTCTCTTCAGTAATAGGTAAAATGTTAATTGTACTATTAAAATAAAGAAAGAAATAGAAGAAAGCACTTTCTTACCATATGGCGTCTCTGGTGGCAGTGAAAAAGCTGGTGTGGATGGGGCATCTTCATTTCCATTTCTGGCTAGGGAGAAGATTCCTCCATATATTTCGTCTTGATAACACGACATCTATAAAGGACAGAAAAAATGCAAAAAACCAGTGTTAAAATTTTAACTTAGTCCTATAACATAATGGGACATTTTTCATCAGACTATAGAAGGTTTCATATAATCTCATTCACTGTTCCAGCAAAGAGCTCTTGAAATGTTCAAACCACGCAAACAAAAAACAGAAGGCAAGAGATGGTCAACTTAAACACTGTACTGCATTTCTATGATAACTCTTCTTATTGCCACGGTGCAACTGGCAAATTGCTTCACACTGATTTTAGACACCAAACATGAACATAGGACTCCCTGCTGGCCATTCATTTCAATAAACATTTCTTGCAGAATTCTACACTGTTTACCTCTTTGGTCTCCCCCACGGGGATTAGTGATCCTGGATTTACAGCCTGGTCAGGAACAAGAGACTTCATCCATCCACACCCGCTATAAAGTGACTGCCCAGGGAAATCATTGTCATACTGTCCAACACTTAACTTTCTGTTCCTTCCCACCATTGCATCATTATCTTTTGAACCTGTTGTTGAAAAAACAAATACGTAAACCAGTTAATAACGGTTTTTTTTCAGTTGTAATTGTTAACATAAATGCTTCTTATTATGCCTGCAGTAATTCTGTTCAAGAACACTCATGAAACAACTGGTTGCATAACTGCTTTAAAAAGCCACACAGGTGTGAAAAACAAAAACAAAACAAAATGCCATTGACATTTAGCTTTGCTCTCAGAAGTCAGAATGTTTCTGCAATACATTTACTTCCAGTGGAGTGGAGCTGCATGCTTTGCTGATGCTCATTTTTGAAAGTTACTCCTAATGACAATGGCAGAGCCTGTCAGTGGAGGCTGCTCTGGGCAGTCAAACAGGAAAGCTTTATTTCCAACCTCTAACACACAGTAGGTTTCAGCAGTAAGAATACTGTTTTCCCGGATTGCATTTTCTCAGAATGATCAGCTTTTTAGCTAACATAGACCCTGGCCCTTATAAGCCCAGCTCACTAGACACTTTTTATCACAGAAAATACCCATAATTACGGAAATTACATATTAGGTATACACAGGAGCTGTAGCCATTTAGGAGTCTGAAGAATGGAGTACAAAAGGGAGTAAGCTGAGCCAGCAGAACAATCCAAGTTATTCAGGGGGCATAAAGCAGTATTCATGTTGAAAGTCAATTCAGAATTAAGAAATGTCACCAGCTACAGCTTTATCACCAGCAACATTTTTTACTTAGTCATCCACACCTACACACAGACGCTTTGAGAAAATTTCTACAGAAATGTCTTTCTTTTTTTCTGAAGAACAAGTCAACAGTAAGTGTTCCCCATCATTTCTAGTCCCCACCACGCCGCAGCAAGATGAACTCTACCTGTTTTAGTTACACTAGGCTGAGAATTCTATGCTTAAAAAAAATCTATCTGAAAATCCCACAAAAATATAGTTTTTAGACATTCTGTTCCTTATTGTAATTTATTCACTCATAACGTGTCTCTGTACGAAATTCATTCACTTGCTTATCAAATAACATTTTGCTGTGGCTACATGCATTAGCACAGCATACACAAAGTAGTCAAAGATTTGAGCTGTAAAATCAAAACGTGAAAGACTAATTTGCATATGTTGGTCAAAAAACATCAGCTGTAGTTACATAGCTAGAATGACCTCACATTTTAGAACTGCTGGCACAGGTTTAAAAGAGTTCCATATTCTATATTGCTTAAGAATGACAAAACATAACCTTGTACAGTCAGGTAATTTGTAAGGCCTCCCAGAATGTATCAAACTACCTTAACTGATCTTACTGCACAAATGGAAGAAATTCTTGCCTATAATGAACAGGCCTGGACGCAGTGCTGCAGATGGGGCCTCACAAGAGCCAAGTAGAGGGGGACAGTAACCTCCTTCTCCCTGCTGCCACCCTTCTTTTAATTAAGACCAGAATACCACTGGCCTTCTGGGCTGCAAGAGCACACTGCTAGTTCATGTCCACCTCATCCATAGGGACCCCCAAGCCCTTCTCCGCAGAGCTGCACTCAAGAAGTTCATTTCCCAGTCTGTACTCATAGCTAGGATTGCCCCGACCCAAGTGCAACACTTTGCATTTGGCCTTATTGAACCTCACTAGGTTCTTGTGCTTGTCTTCGTTCAAGTCTGTCCAGGTACACCTGGATCGCATCTCTTCCTTCTATTGTACTGACTGCACCACTCAGCCTACTGTCCTCAGCAAACTTGCTGAAGGTACACTCAATCACACAGTCTAAGCCGTTGATAAAAATGATAAAAAAAAAAGAGTCCAAGACAGGCCCCTGGGGATGCTTGTGATTGGCCTCCACCTGGATGTAGAGCCATTTACATCAGAGCCATTTACATGTAGAGCCATCAATCCTCTGGCTATGACTGTCCAGCTAGATTCTTATTCACTGAATAGTCCCCCACTCAAATCTCTATCTCCCCAGTTTGGAGATGACATCAATTGTTCTTCCTTGGTCCGTCAATGCCATCGCTCCAACACAGAAGGCCATCACTGGTATGGCATGATCTGCCATGTTGGCTATCTCAGATCACCGCTTCATCTTGCATCAGCCTAAGCATCTCTTCCAGGAGGATTTGTTCCACGATTTTTCCAGGCACAGGTGTGAGGCTCACCGGCCTGTAGTTTCCCAGGTCTTCTTTTCTCTCTTTCTTAAAAATGGGACTGATGTTTTCCTTTTTCCAGTTGCTGGGGACTTCACCTGACAGCTGCAACTTTTCAAATACGATGGAGAGCAAGCACATCAGCCAACTTCTTTGGAAACCTGAGATGCATACTGTCCTGCCCTATAGCCTTGCACATTTAGCCTTGTGAAGTGATCTTGGACTTACTCTGGTCTTACACCGGACCTCCATGTGGAAGTTTAGGGACACAAGACACTTGGGAAGCCTGACAGGCAGGGAAGACTGAGGCAAAGAATGCATTGAATACCTCAGCATTTTCCACATCTGAGAAGGCCAGTTTTCCCTTATCATTTATCAGAGGGATATATCATCAGAGAGAATATTATTTTACACTCTCCTTAGCTGGTCTCTTGTGACCAATGTACCTAAAGAAACTTTTCTTGGTTTTTACATCTTTTGTCAAGCTTAATTACATTCAGGCCTTGGCTTGCTTGATTCCATCTCTGCCTATTCTGTATTCCTCCCAGGCCACCCATCCCCACTTCCACTGCTTACATTTTTCCTTCTTTAGCTTTACAGCAGGTCCTTGCTCACCCATGGTAGTTTCCTGCCTCCTCTGCCCAGTTTCTTATTCTGGGGAATGAAAATCTCCTGTGCTCTCAGAAACAAGTGCTACCATCTCTGTTCTGATCCTTTGTCCCTAAGGACAGTTTCCCAGGAGAACTCTTCCAACAATTCCTTAAACAGCCTGAAGTTCACTCTCCCAAAGTTCAGTGACTCCACTCTTCGCCAGGCTCACATTCCTTGGGATCATGAACTCAACCAGGACATGGTCGCTGCAGCCCAGGCTGCCCCCAGCTTAACCTCTTTAACCATCTCCTCCACAATAGTGAGCACAAGGTCCAGAAATACTTCGCTTCTGGTCGGTATGTCCAATACCTGAACCAGAAAATTACTGTCAATAGACTCCAGGAGTCTCCTGAATCGCTTGTAGCTCACCATGTCCTTTTCCCCACAGATACTTGGGTGTTTGAAATCCCACAATAGGATGAGTGCCTGCAAGCACAATGCCTGTTTCAGCTGAAGAAAGAAGGCCTCATCAACAGGTTTCCCTTGATCAGGAAGCCTGTAGTAAACCCTGACCACCAGTTGTCTTTTGTTGGTCTCATCCCTAATTTTAACATAATAGGCAATTCCCCATGCCTCCTACCTCACCTATCCCTTCTAAAAAGCTTACAGCCCTCAGTGGTGGTATTCCAGTTATGCGAATCATCCCACCATGTCTCTGTGACAGCAGTAATATCATAGTTTTCCAAGTGCACCATGGCTTCCAGCTCCTCCTGCTTGTTTCCTATGTTGTGTGCATTGATACAGAGGCACTTCAGCTGGGCTTTTGGATGCAATAGCTTACTAGAGGAGCCCTCTCACAAACTTCTGGGACAAATCTGAGGTTTTCCTTCACTAATTCCTAAAGTGACAGAGTTCCCTAGCTCTTCTCTGTCACTCAGCAGTACACCTCCAATCCCCAGCAGCTTCAATTCAAGGCTCTGGTGATGAGCCCAACTTGCTGCCTAGTGTATTCTCTCCCCTCCTGGTCAGTTGTGTCCTATCTCACATCAACATTCAGTTTGTCAAAGGTGCATCCTAGATCATAGAACCCATAGCCTTTGGCATGACACCACCCATGCAGACAGTCATTCAACTGGTCTGTTCTCCTCCTCTTGCCAGGATCCCAGTCTCTAAATGGGAGGACTAAGGAGAGCATTACCTGTGCTCCCAATCCCTTCAACATCTTCCCAAGGGATGTCAAGTCTTTTTTGATATTTTTTTATATCCTGGTCACAATCTCATGTGGCCTAGCTTGAAAGACCAGGAGGTGATAGCAGTCTTCCAGCTTTATCCTACTTGGTATCCTCTTCTCAATGTCCTGAATATAAGTCCCCAGCAAGCAGCAAACTTCTATAGAGAGGTTATGTGAGAGGCAAATGGGCACTTCAGTGCCCCTCAGCACTGAGTCTCCAATTACCAAGACCTTTCACCTTTTTTTAGCAGCACTGATCATGAAGCTGTGACAGAAGAGGTTCAGGCTGGATATCAGGAAAAGGTTCTTCACTGAGAGGCTTTCTGGGCACTGGAACAGCCTCCCCAGGTCACAGCACCAAGCTGACATTTCAAAAAGCATCTGGACAATGGTGTCAGACATATGGCCTGATTTTTGGGTAGTCCTGTGTGGAGCCAGGAGATGATCCTTATGGGTCCCTTCAAAGTAAGGATATTCAACGATTCTATCACTCTAAAAGCAGAAGCAGCTTGTGTTGTTAACACAGCATTAATGAAAGGTTTCAGTTGACTTAAAGAGAGATAGCAGATAACAAGCAAACACTGTGACTTCCAATTTCTAGAAATAACTTCAGAAAAATAATTAAGGTATCTCACTGGAAAATATTACCGTATTTATGAATATATTGCACAGAAATTTAAAAGAAAACTATTATATAATACTTAAGAGAAAATAAACTCAGAGCTTATTATCGTACTTTCAGTGGAAATAATAAATAACTATCATAAAATCATAAAACATTTCACTACATGTGTCTTCTAAAAATGTCTCAATAGTAATGTAGGAGTTGTAGGAATATATGTAGGAATTCTCCCCTTCATCTAAGCTTACAGCAGCAGAAAATCACAACTGATTATCTGTAACAGGTTAGAATTTGTTGAACAGTTATTTTAAAAAACAAGTATGCAAAGGCATTTAATAATTAATAATGCAATTCGCATGATTCCATAATTTCTTAGACTGCTGAAAAAAAAGAGGGTATCCGAAATAATCCTTTGACAATCATCCTTTTAATTCTTGATCTGAGGTCCTGCTGCACCATGTCAAGAGCACAAAAGTGCTGGGAAAACCACTTTAGAAAGTATTCAAACAGTACTACAACAGCTTACCATTTTGGAAGGCATTCCTGTTTGTGACCTCTAATTTCTCATGGATGCCAGGGCTCATGACAAGCTCTTCCACATCTGTATTACGGCTAGTGAAGCCATTTGCTTGATTTGTGTCCCTGGTGACAGTGTTAATGCGGGTTGGGATAGGTTCAAATGTAGGGTCTAATTCCAAGATCAGTCTGTTCAGTTGTTCGATGGACTGATCAATATCCAAAGTTGGAGAAGCTGGCAAGTCCCCTGTGTTTGGTCCAAGATCCTGGCTATTTGTGTCCCTCTGAAGCACCAGCTCTGTCTTAAAACTCTCACTGTCTCCGGGTTCTGCACCTTCAGCAACACCTGGTATGCTTCCTAGTCCTCTCTGAACAGCATCTTTACTGCTGGAGCCATGTGTCAGCATGTCTGGGACCTGGGACTGACTCTGGACAATGCCTAAATTCTCCACAGTCTTATGAATACCATCCCTCATTTCGTTCTGTGACACAAAACCATACTGGTGAGCAGTGACCATCTGCTGCTGGCAAACCCAGGTGTGAGTAGAGTAGTTACTTGGGTCATAGGCTTGAGGCTGGGGTGAGACACAAGGATTCCTTTGCAATTGCTGAGGTGACTTCGGCTCAGTGTTACCAAATGATCTTTCATAGAGGGGATCCACACCAATTCCCAGGTCTGGGGCAATGGCATTGTGATGGTCTTCCCCTGTGTTACTTCCAAAGCCATCTGAGAGAAGCGAGTTCTGACTGCTCTTGGGGCAACTCAAGTTTCCTAGATGGGTGGAGTGCTGCCCTTCTGAAGAAGACAAAGTCCCAATGCTGTCTACACTGTGAAGATCATGATTAGGCATTTCATCATCCAGAATATCAGTTTCCCTGTCCTTCAGTTTGGTGTCCCCGTTCACATGAACCTGAGCCGGTACTATGTGGTGAGTCCCACTGTACTTGCTTCCACCATCAGTCACACTCCTGGTGGTGATGACAGAGTCCTCCAAACCAAAGCCACTAAGTAGTTTGTCCAGTTCTGCCTTCTCCTGTGGGCTCAGAACCCGTTTGACTCCTGGCATAAGGTGCTCTTCAGTTTTGTCTGTCCTGACAGAAGCTGTTGAATGTCCTGAATCACTGCTGACAGACAGGGTGTGATCTCTGTGATCAGGACTGCTGGTCACAGGAATACCTTGAGCAACACCAGGGATACTGCCGTCTGAAGAGCTCTTCTTTCTGACTTTTGCATAGAGACTGCCATCAATAGGACCTTGGGTATGCAGCACTGTGGAGAGATAAAGGAAGGAAAGAGAAGGAAAGGGACAAGGCATTATGCAAAAGCTTGGAAGGTATGATATTACATCATACCACACTGCAGTATTGCTAATATCTATGGTATTGTTTATGCAGAACTAAATTCTCTGCAAATTCAGAATAATAGAATCAAAGAATATCCTGAGTTGGAAGGGACCCACAAGGACTATTGAGTTCAACTGCTAACTCCCCAAAAAACCAACCAAATTCAAACCCCACATCTAAGAGCTCCTCGAACTCTGTCATCTCCTTAAACTCCTTGCTGGAGAGGTTTGTTCCAGTGTCTGACCAAGCTCTGATGAAGAACCTTTTCCTAACACCAACCTGAGCCTACCCTGATGGAGCTCCATGCCATTCCCTCAGATCCAGTTGCTGTCACCGGAGAGCAGAGATCAGTGCCTGTACTTCTGCTCCCCTCATGAGGAAGCTGTGGGCAACCATATTCTTCTCTTCCTAATTCCTTCTGAAGCATATGTTATGAAGCGGAAAACGAGCAACTGCCTTCAGAAGACAGAAGGCTTAGTTTTGGCACAGCATCCAAATTTCAAGTGAAAAAGTGAAGCTGACAGCAGAACTGAGAACTTCTGTGACCAGTTTTTTCCAATCTTCCACCAATATACAGCCTTACTATCATCCTGGCTATGTTTCAAGTTTTGCTATAGTACTAGCAAGGCAAGGCTTATTGATTAAAATCAAATAGGGACAGAAGGCCACAACAGTTCAGAGAAACAAATTCATGTTTCTCTAAAATTAGTTTCTAATTTCCATAACAATTTTTTTTTTTAAAACCAAAGTTTCACTTGCCATTTCTCCTTCCTGTTAACACTCTGTACTTAGAAAATCCCCAGGGAATCAGGGAGAGTTTTCTGAATACCTGGCTGTCAGCTATCACTGTTCATCTCCTTCCTTGGCCAGTAAGTTCATGAGGAAATCAGGCACAGAAGGATCTGGTTTCAGTGGAGGTCCCATGACATGTGCTGCAGTCCGTATTTTAGTAGTTGGTACAACCAATAGCACAGTCTTCTTTCATATTTCTATTTACATCACGATTTACAACAAAGTTCTAGATGAATATATAACATGCCACTCACACAAAAAGAAGAAATAAAGTTTCCTTTTTTGCTGTTTTCATTAAATTTTTATGTCTTCACAAATTTTTTACACCAATTTGGAGAACTGTTAGGACATTGAGTCATCTACCATGCACTCCATTCAGAGCAAGAATGGTAGGAACCTACCAGCCATGCTTGCTCTGAAGGAATATCAGGTAATTACCAGCTCATTCATTTCTACTTGATAGTCTAAATACGCAACAAAGAATCATTTACTTCTCCTGTTGGTGGTACAAGGAAACACTAGGCTTTCAATCAGGAAGGCTTCACTGAAGTGAGTGTGTTGTGTTTTGATCCCAGAAGTAACATCCTTCCATATTCCTCCCCGCTATCTACAACCACCTATCATGTATTCTTGAATCTTTCACACTGCAGCCACCATTCCTCATTACAGTGAAATACATCTTTAATTAATTATTTATTTTCAATAAACAACAAAAAAAAAATCGAACACAAAATACACAGCAGACAGTCAGAGCATCACAAATTACAAACTAAACTTTCTGCCACAGGATTGTCTCCTTTGCACAGACAGTTTGGACTGTCTGCATGCTTTATCGCACACGTAATATTTTAAATATACTTTAATACTAACAGGAATAGCAAACATACACTCAACAACAATATGTGTACGAAACATTCAAAATGAGGAATTAAAATTTGTTTCCCAAAAAAACACACACTTCATCAATGTTTACATTTAATTAACCTATAAAAAAGCATTCTGAAGACATTTTCAATTTGAAAGCGTTACTATGAAAACAACTGCAGACCTGTAATCCTCTCCTCTGTGTCAGAGAAGAGCACAGAACAGATCATCTTGGAAGCTATGCTAAGGCACATGAAAGACAGGGAGGCCTTCTACCTCCAGTTACAGGATGCACTATGATCACAAGTGCTCATCCTGCTGGAGGACTTCAACCATCCAGACATCTGCTGGAAAAGTGGCATGGCAAGCTGTAGGCCATCCAGATGGCTCCTGGCATGCATTGAGAATAACTTCCTGAGTCAAGTAATAGACAGCCCCATCGGGGGGATGCAATACTGGATGGACCTGTTGCTCACCAGTGCAAATGAACTGATTGGTGACATCAGGATTGGAGGCTGCCTGGGCTATAAGTGAGCATGCTATGGTTAAGCTCATGCTCCTGAGGGATATGATGTAGGCAGAGAGTAAAATTAGGACACTAAATTTTAGGAATTCTAACTCCCAGCTCTTCAAGCTGACAGTCAACAAAATATCCTCGAAAACTGTCCTCGTGGGCAAGGGTGCAGAGAAGAACTAGTAGATCTTAAGGAAGCTTTTCATCAGGGTGCAAAAGCAATCTCTCCAGGTGCAGCAAGTCAGGAATACAAAGCAAGAGCAAGCATTGCTGAAACAGATCTGCTGACCAAACTAAAGAGCAAGAAGAAAATGCACAGGGAGTGGAAACAGGGACAGGTACTGTGGGAAGAGCATAAGGAATCTGCTGTGTAGGGTTGGGGTCAGGAAAGCCAAGGCCTAGCTTGAGCTAAACTCGACAAGGGATGCCAAGAAGAACAAGAAAGGCTTCTCACAGGCATCTCTGGCAGAAGAGGACAGTTCAGGAGGGCATACCACCTCTCCTCCATCCCTCCCTCCTCCAGTGAGTGACACAGGCAAGCCGGCAACAACAGAGAAGGAGAAGGCTGAGGTACTTAATAACTCTTCTTTTTTGCCTTGGTCTTCTGTGATAACTGCTTGTCACACAGCCCTCAGATGTGTGGTTTGGTAGGAGGGGACTGGGGTGGCAATGTCCCTCCTCTGTGAGTGAAAACCACTTTTGTGACCACCTGAGGAACCTGAAGACCCACAAGTCTATGGGTCCCTATGAGATGCGTCCCAGAGTCCTGAGGGAATTAGCTGATGTAGTCACCAAGCCACTCTCAATGATATTTGAAAAGTCATGGCAGCATCACACCACCTTTAAGAAGGGCGGAAAAGATGACCCTGGGAACTACCGACCTCTGAGTCTCACCTGTGTACCGGGAAAGATCATGGACAGATCTTCCTGTAAGCTATGCTAAGGCACATGGAAGACAGGGAAGAGACATGGGAGATTGAGCCTGGCTTTACCAAGGGCAAATCCTGCTTGATCAACCTGGTGGCCTTCTCTGACAGCGTACCTTCATCAGTGAATGAGGAAAGAGCCACTGATGTCATCTGTCTGGACTTTGGTAAGGCCTATGCCACAGTGCCTCACAACACCCTTCTCTCCAAACTGGAGCGATACAGTTTGATGGGCAGACTGTTCAGTGAATGAAGAACTGGTTGCAAGGTTGAGCCCAGAGAGTGGCTCAATGTCTGGGTGGAGATTAGTGATGAGTGGTGTGCCCCAAGATGCAGTGCTGAGATATATACTCATTAATATCATTAATATCTTCATCAGTGACACTGACAGCAGGGTTGAGTGCACCCTCAGCAAGTTTGAGGATGATACCAAGTTGTGGGGTGCAGTCAGCACATCAGAGAGACAGGATGGCATCCAGAGGGACCTAGACAGGCTTGAGCAATGGGCCCAGGACAGCCTCATCAGGCTCAACAAATCCAAATGCAAGGTTTTGCATCTGGGTCGAGGCAACATCCACTACCAACATGAGGTGGAATATGGCCAGCAGGTTGAGGGAGGTGATCCTGACCCTCTACTATGTGGTGATCAGGCCTCACCTGGTGTACTGCATCCAGATGTGGAATCCTCAGTACAGGAGAGACACAAACCTGTTTGTTGATGTGATCCATGGGATGGAACACCTCCCCTATGCGGAGGAACACCTCTCCTGTGCAGGTTCAAAGAAGGGCAACAAAGCTGGTGAGGGGTCTGGAGCACAGGCCTTATGAGGAGTGGCTGAGGGAGCTGGGATTGTTCAGTCTGGAGAAGAGGAGGCTCAGCAAGACCTCATTGCTCTCTATAACTACCTGAAGGGAGGTTGTAGTGAGCTGGGGGTCAGCCTCTTCTCTGGTGTAACTGGTGATAGGACTAGAGGGAATGGCTTCAAGCTGAGCCAGGGGAGATTTAGGCTGGATGTTAGGAAATACTACTTCTCTGAAAGAGTGGTCAGGGACTGGAATGGGCTGCCCAGGGTGGCCTTTCAATATCTAAAGAAGAACTACAGGAAAGAAGGGGACAGACAAGAGTCTCTCGCAAGGTCTGTTGTGGTAGAACAAGAAGAAATGGTTTCAAGTTTAAAGAGGGTAGATTTAGCTTAAATATAATGAAAAAGACTTTTACAGTGAGAGTGCTGAGGCACTGGAACAGGTTGCCCAGAGATGTGGTGGATGCCCCATCCTTGGAAACTTTCAAGGCAAGGCTGGATAAGGACCTGGGCAACCTGATCTATCTGTGTATGTCTCTGTTCATTGCAGGGGAGTTGGATCAGACGGCCTTCACAGGTGCCTTCCAGCTCTAAGGATTCCATGATTCTATACCAGACAACTAGCACAGCTTCATCAAGGACAAGTCCTGCAATGGAGGGGAGAGAAACTGAAGTCATCTGTGTGGTCTTCAGTAAGGCTTCTGACACAGTCCCTCAGGACCTGAGAGATGGGATGCCATGCAAAGAGATCTAGACAGGCTCAAACAGTGGGTCCAGAAGAACCTCATGAAGTTCAACATATCCATGTCTTGCACCTGGGTCATGGCAGCCCCGCAATCAGTACAAGCTGGGGGATGAAAAGATCAAACACAGGCCTGCAAAAAGAAACTGGGGGTACTGCTAGATGGTAAGCTGGACATGAGCCAGCAACATGCCCCTGCAGCTCAGAAAGCCAAATGTATCCTTCAAAGCAAGCATGGTCAGCAGGATGAGGGAAGTGATTCTGCTCCTATTCTCTGCTCTGTTG